GGACCCATTATGCCTCTGTCAACTATGAAATATCTAGCCATTTTCAAATGTCTGTATTGTTTCCTTAAACCATATGCATTTGGAGGTTCATATGTTGTTGGGTAAAATAATTAAGCTTAGCTCCAAGTACAGAATGAAAGGGAAATGATTTGTTCAATCATTTTGGGACTGGAGAAATAATTTGATGTCTGTTTCATCCTCACCTGTTGAGTTAGTCGTTGTCCCAGAGTCTGAGAGAGTTGTCTCAAAGGAAATCTACAAAAATATTTGTGGATTTAGAAACACTAAAGGGAAGGGAAAATTGTTCTGCAGTTCACATTCTTGACATCTCAAAAGCTCACGATCCCAGGCTCCCAGGTTACAAAAGGTCTTTTTTCTTCTAAACATGTTCCCTTAAGGTGTCAATGTTTGATAATGTGCCCAATCAACATTAATGCATCAAACAAGCATACATACCCTTTTTGACACAGAAACAAAGTTGGAACTGTGGGCTCTTAAGTGTCAGCAGGCATGGGTGTGTTTTGGAGAGTGAAAAGCCCTCCTCAGATCACATGGGTTTCTGGGCAGAGAGGGAGAGCTGGATTCATCCTGCGCCTTGTGAATTATCTGCTGTGTGACTGACTTTTGTGGAAATTAAGCCAAATTAAAATAAATAATGCATGCAATGTGTTTAGCACACTCCCCAGCATGTGGTGGGCACCCAGTAAATATTGGCTATTATTAAGAGCTATGGAGTCTGGCTGCATGCTAAAGGACGTTTAGCAGTGAAACTGTTTGGGGTTGCTGTAGGAGGTGGGGATGTATGTTGCATGGGAACAGTCAGGGAGGGAAGTTCATTTTCAGCATCTCCCCAAGGTCAGATGGCATGGCACAGACACAGGGACCAAGGGAGGGAGAGAGGAAGGGGGGGGGGAGAGAGAGAGAGAGAGAGAGAGAGAAAGAGGACAAGCATGAGCCCCTCTTATTATTGTCCTAAACACACATTTACTGAGGGCAGTCTCTATTCCCCTACTGCAGCAAAGGTTCTGCTATGAGGCCAGATATGCAGTAGCCCTCCCTCCAGCACCTTGTTTTTACAAGACCTGTTTCTTGCTAGGTGTGCCATAGATTCCCAGAGCATTTTATAAATTGAAAAAGGATATGCAATGGCAAGATATTACTATTACCATGTATCCAACCGGTGACGTAATCCCCATAGACAGGATGTACTGGGAACATACTCCCCAGGTCTCTCCCTCCCGACTCCTTCCCATTTTGAAGTACATATTTAGGTTTACCAATTGTTACTATATCCAGAACCCAGTCTTCTCCTATTTCTCCTACTTGTTCCTTGCTATCATCCCAAATTTCATTAAGCCTCTTCTGGAAGACCTAAAAAGTGGTGGGAAGAAAATGCAATTCTGAAGTCCAAATGTGGGTTGATGGAAAGTCAGGCATCTGTTATGAAATTTTAATTTAAATACACCACTGGAATTCAATACACCATTGCCGGGGGGCTGAGTCATTGAGCACTAGAGTTCTACATGCATTTGATAATGATGGTTTCTAGTGAGTAATTACGTGGCTGTGGCCCTCATGTTTTTCTTGGAGTCTTTGTGATGCTCCTTCAATTTGCCCTTCCTGTACTCACTTCTTATCTTTTATTCTTGATGTTGAATAATTTGGGTATATGGAACAAAAATAAGAATGCATGCAGGCACCCACCAGCATGACAAAAATGAAATAGATGGAAGTTGCCGACTGTTGGCAAGTAGGTGGGACAACTGGGACTGACAGGCACTGCTGGTAGGAGTATAAATTGACACAACCCTTTTGGGAAAATGGTTGCCAGTATCTACTAAAGCTGAAACTAGCTATGCTGTTGTTCAACAAGCCCACTTGTAGGTGTGTATTTAACAGAACACAGAAAATCGTCACCAAAAAAGACATGTAGTAGAATGTTCAAACTCCTCAAAACTGGAATTACTCTAATGCCCATCAGCAATGGAGTGGATAAGTCAATGTTTGCAAAATGGGGTGCTATACAGTATTGAGTGCGTGATACAGTTCCAAATTACATGCATCAATATAGATGAAACTTATTTATAAACATAAATGTTGAGCAAAAGAAGCAGATGCATCCACAAAAACACACATTCTATGGCTGTAGTTTGTTAACCAACACCGCTGATTTGTGCTGTTAGAAGTCAGGGTAGTAGGTTGAATGCAGTGGCTCGCACCTGTAATCCCAGCAGTTTGGGAGGCTGAGGTGGGTGGATTGCTGGAGGCCAGGAGTTTGAGATCAGCCTGGCCAACATAACGAAACCCCTTCTCTACTAAAAATACAAAAATTAGCCAGTTGTGATGGCAGGTGCCTGTAATCTCAGCTACTTGGGAGGTTGAGGCACAAGAATTCCTTGAACCTGGGAGGTGAAAGTTGCAGTGAGCAGAGATGGTGCCACTGTACTCCAGCCTGGGTGATAGAATGAGGCTCCATCCCAGAACAAACAAACAAGCAAACAAACAAAAGAAGTCAGGATAGCAATTAGTATTGGTGACCAGAAGAAAGCATTACCATGGGCTTCTTGGGTGCTAGTCAGGTTCTGTTTCTTAGTCGGGTGCTGGTTTTAAGATCGTGTTCAGTTTGCGAAAGATCATTGAACCATATGCTTAAGACTACTTTCTGTATATTATATTTTAAAAAGTTTTTTTTTTTAAATTGGCAAGATAAAGTAATTTATTCCTGCCACCTTTGCAGCTCTGGACACCATTAGTAATTTTTGTGGAACAAAGCTGGCCAGCAGAACCAGCCAGCTACAGACAATTCCTCTTGTCCTTACATTTATACATTTCATACATATATTCAAAGAATATAGCACTTTTCCATCATTATTTCAGAATGGATTCATCAATATCTTCATCTAAAAGATGAAGCCAGAAATGTCCACTACACAGAGCTATTACAAATATTAACTAGCATCTTGTATATCGATACAGTTCCCATCACTGGCAGGTATTCACTGTGGTGGCAATCCTGAACCCCTGATTCCACTTGGAATCAGGGTACAGAAAGAAGACCAAACAATTGCTGAGCAAGCGTTCTGTGCTAAACATTGTTCGTGAGCTCATGATGTGCTTTGTAAATCATCTTATTTTATCCCCTATCAACCTTACGGGGAAAAATTATGTCCATCATTACCCATATAAGGTGACTGAGGTTCAGAGAGCCAGATGGGCAAGGTCACAGAGCTGTAGAAGGCATACTGGTGTCTGAACACAGGCCTTTTCCAAAGTTCATTCCACAGGAGCACGCTGCCTCCCAATTAGGTAGAAAACTACCCGAGTTGTACTTTAATTTCTCTAAACATAGTGGTTTCCTTCTGAGGTAAAAATCATCTGCTCAGCTGGTTTCGGAGTACCATTTTCCTTGTTGAGTTGACTTAGTGGTAAAAGAAGTTTTGAATGAAGTGGGCAGAGAGATCCGGAGAACAGCAGGGAAGTCTCCAAGGACCTTGTGATTTTGGGTTCTCACTGTGGGAGTTGTTATGCTTTGCAGTAATTGCATATTGAATAAATAATTCTGATTTTCATGGAGTGGGCTGTCCAACTTTTAAGGCTTATTGACTTATTTTTATACATTTTATCAGTTTAACAAATAAAACACACTCTCTTCTTGGTCAAGAGTTTCCCAGGAGTATGCTAGCAAAAGTGGGAGATGCAAATTTGTGAATATCCACTTTTGCCTCAACTGAAAGGAAAATAATAAAATGTCCAGGTACTGGCCAAAAATAACTTTTAATAAAACAGACCGAGAAGCCCAGCCCTGGTCCTTGCAACCAAGATATGATGTGGTCTGCCCTCTTTTCAAATTGAGCTGTGCCAACATCTGTTGGCCTGTTGCCTCTGACAGCTACACAGAGACAGACATGGGAAAGCAATGTGGCAGAAGAACCAATATATGTGGTGCCAGGCATCATTATAGATATCTGCAAGTTGTATATCATGACTTAATTTAGAAAAAAAGTTGAGGTCACAGACGGTAAGAAACTTGCTTAATGCCACAGAGATGTTAAGTGACAGAATCAAAGTGCAGATCTATTGCAAGGATTGGCAAACTTTTTCTGTAAAGGGGCAGATAATAAATATTTCAACTTTGTGGATCATGTGGTTTTTGTTGCAATTGCTAGTCTCCTTTTGTAGTGTGAAAGCAGCCATAGACAATATAGAAGCAAGCAGGTGTGGTTGTATTCTAACAAAACTATTTATGAACACGGAAATGTTGAATTTCGTGTAATTTTTGTCTTAAAATATTATATTTAAAAATTATATTCAACTCTTTAAAAATGTAAAGACGATTTTTACAGGTATGCAGAAACAGGTGGTAAGACATAGGTATAGTTTAGTTGATCCTTTTTTAAAAATCTGATTCCAAAGCTCACACAAGCTGTTTTGATTTAGCAGGTTGTTTTAGCTAATATTCTTTGGAATAAAAACCTCTCTTCCAAGTAGGACTTGGCTTTACGCTCAACATGCTTTGACCATTGAAAGACCACTTTGGCACACAGTGAGGGGATGGTGAATGTTTATTTGTTTGTGTTTGTGTGTGCATGAAAAAGAGGGTAGAGGGAGGGAGGGAAAAAAGGAGGGAGAGAGAGAGAGGGGAGGGAGGGAGGCACAAAGAACGGATAGCAAAAAGCATTAACTCAAGTTTTTCTCTTACACCCACAGAGGGACTTTGGTGATATTGACTTTTCCATTTTCAGAATCTGAGATGTCTTGCTATCTGTTTTCTAAAATAAAAGCAAATTAATGTCAGCATTCAAATTTATCAAATTTTATCAAATTGGGAGAATTTTGTCATCTGCTTGACATTTGGTACATGAAATTCAAGGGTGCCTAATTAAATATTGTGAATGTTAACACCGAATCAGGAGTAGTCTCAGGGAGGGTTGCAAATGATGACTACTGAGGTTTGTAGATAGTATTGACTGAGGTCCTCCATGTTATCTCTGCTTCATTAGGTGATGGAGATACCAATCCATGGAACCGGGTGGCCCAGCTATGTTGGTAGCTACACCAGAAGGCTTCTTGGCAAAGATTCCTCCAGGGAAGGAAGGTAGCATCGGAGAACTGTGCATTAAGACAGGGAAGAAATTACTGGAATGGTGAAACATTAAACTGGAAGGAAGCCTTAGGCAAACCTAACTGGTGAGAAAACAGACACCAAGATGTTACCCAGGTAGTACCAAAACCAAGGCTGGTATTTGCACAAATATGCTTTTCTTCTCTATCGAGTATCAAGGCATTTTCAATATTGTTAACAGGCCTTAAGCTTGGTTTGCCTACATAGAAATCAAAATAATAATATCAAGCCATGAAAGAAGTAAAAGGAGTGCAAAACAGTTCAGCTTTCTCCAGTGTGACTATTTCTGATATATTATAAAATAACAAAAATCAAATTCAAAGAATGAACTTTCGCCCCTATTTTGCTAATAATGCTTTAAGTAAATGGATGGTCTTTCTAGTCTTTCCCAAAGGCCCCTAGATTAATTATTAGTGACATTGCTAGGAAACTCCCATGAAATCTTGTGGGTCCATGGAAACCATGCATCAGACTGCAACATATTGTGTAGATCATATGCTATCATGTGAAAATGTTCTGTTCCAAAGTCCCCTGGAACTTGGAATGCATTTTTCCTACAGAACAATGTTCCAAGCAATGGTTATCTTCCCAGGCCATCGCAAAGGTCTATTAGATTCCCCAAGTGGCTGACTGCAATAAATGTGCTCAGAAGCTGCTGAGGCTCAAACTTCAGCCCTTGGAGAGGCAGCTCGAGAGATTGAGAAACTTGAAGAGGCTGTGCTATATCCTGTCCTCCTTTTGGGAAATCTTGGCAGCCCTTGCATAGAGAGAGGGAGGAGGGTTGGTGGGCGTGGTGGTTTGGTGGGGAAGCTAAGGTCCTCCTTTGGAAACAACGGAGGAAGGCTCCATGTTAAAGGGGAAAGGAGGAGACAGGAAGCCTCCATTAAATTGTTTATAAGTTGAATTGTTTCTAAAGCCGGAACTGACAACTGTGTTTTTACAAAGTAGAAAAGGATGCAACAAGTTCCACAGCCCTCATTCAGGCATATACAATACTTAAGAAGATCAGAGTGCAATATCTTTGGGCAGGTAGGTTTAAAAAAAATTGAGTGTAGAGTTAGTGTATAAATTCTTCCAATTTGAAAATTATTGAGGGTTATTACTGACGCCATTTGAACAGGACCATAACATTCATGTATTGTGGAATGGCTCAGATTGCTGCCTAAGCAAGCAATTATTTTGTTTTTGCTTCTGCAGTTAGACAAGGAAGAATGTTTTGCATTCTATCAGCTGGGCTTTTATTGTTTTTCATGTTAGGACAAATGTTCTTTGAGAGGTGGGGTCTTGTTTGAGGAAATGTCAAGCTGTCCAGTTTAGATTTATTGGTGATTGTGGCAGGTGCCAAATGTTTCAAGAAGTTGGTGTATGCATTTTTTTTCTCCCATGGCAGAGTTTTCTGGAATCAGGATATGTTATCTGCAGGAAGAAAGCAAATGTGCTATACTTAAAATTCAGTGTATGACAGAAAAACCTAAAGAAGGCTTGTGGTAGATGAATTTACATAATCTGAAAGGTATTTTATGCATCAAGTTCCAAAGTTAGGGAAGGCAACTAAGCAAGGGACTGCCACATAAGACACAGGCGTTGTCTGTGGTGTCTGGGTGGGCCAAAGAAGAATGATTTATGTGAGTATCATAAGACTAGCTGGCTCTAAAATATTTGCTCTCCAATGTCCAGAAATTCCGCCTTCTAAATAGTCCTTAGAGAGACAATTTTCTCCAACTTAGTCCACCTTTCCTACTAAGCATCCTCATGAGCAGGTCAAATCAATGGGAACTTTTGGCAGGGAATCCTTTGGAGGTTTACATTTTATCTTAAAATTTGCTAGGAACTTTGTGTCTTTTCCATTATATATTCATGTTTTATCCAACATAAAATTATTACCCTTCTGCAAATCTTTGAGTGGAAATGATGCTTCAGGAGGATGGCCCATATCTTTTCCAAAGTCCTGGCCACTCTGCAGAATACTCTGTTTTCTCAGGAGCAGGGAGATTCTGCTTTGAGAAATACAGACTTCAGTCATTGTCCAGTTGGTGGTCTGGCCATTGTCCTTTGAAAATGTACAAATCCTTTGTTGGAATAGTACGTGAGTTTCTTTTTACATTAGAAGAAGTTACTTTATCAGAAGAGTTCATTGTCATTTTGGAAAACAGTATTCTGGACTTGGAAAGACTGTAAACTAGAAAATCTTTGGTGATGAAAAAGGACAAGTTTTGAAAGCATGGGATACTGTGCTGAAAAGGTAACCTTATATGGGGATGTGGGGAATCTGGGTTGAAGAGGAGTTGGGTGAGGCTGGAGGAGAAGCGGATGCAGAGAAAAAGGAAAGAGGTATAAGTCACAAAATTTGCCCAAAGTTTTCTGTCTCCAACCTTAGTTGCAGTCCTTAGCTCTATCTCCAACTTCTCTGTCCAAGTGGCAGCATCTCCAGTTCAGAGAATCAAGTCAAGGTGTCCAAAATGCCAACTGACCTGTGAGCAATTTTGCCTAACCCTTATCATGCAGCATTTCTGCCTGCTCATTCCTGTGTGGTTCTTTGGCTTCATCCCTCACACTGCCAATTATCTGTCTCCCTGTTCTAGCCAGAAACTAGGAAGTCTTTGTCTTTTCCTTCTTCCCAACCTCCCATGCACATGTCCGGTTGACCATGAAGTCTAACCAGACTTCATGCAACCTCTAAAACATTCTTTTATTCTTTGTAGAAATTTCAGATCCTGCAGGAAAGTGAGCACTCAAAGAACTGAAAGGTGGAGAGTTTAATGAACGGTCAGCTTCCAGAGCAGGGAGGAGGAAGGTAAGAAACAGTGGCAAGGCTGGATGCAGTGGCTAACGCCTGTAATCTCAATACTTTGGGAGGCCAAGGTGGGTGGACCACCTGAGGTCAGGAGTTTGATTTGAGATCAGCCTGACCAACAGGGTGAAACCCTGTCTCTACTAAAAATATAAAAATTAGCCAGGTGTGGTGGCAGGCACCTGTAATCTAGCTACTAGGGAGGCTGAGGCAGGAGAATCGCTTGAATCCAGGAGGCGGAGATTGTAGTGAGCCGAGATCAAGTCATTGCACTCCAGCCTGGGGCGATAGGGTGACTCCATCTTATTAAAAAAAAAAAAGAGAGAGAGAGAAGAAAAAAGAAACAGTGGTAAAAGATCCAAGGGCAGCTGCAGGATGCCTTTGCCATCCCCAGGAAGATCAAGTGTTAGGGGCGACAGTTGAATTTCCAAAAGTACCTGATCTCTAAGCTTGGAGCTGTGGAGGAAAAGCCATCTGATGGGAGCTAAAACAGGGGAATGAAGCCAGGGCCAGGACTCTGGCAAGGTAGTGGGCAGCAAGCGACGAAAGTCAGGGAGACAATCACTGCCATCATTTGCTCTCCCTCTTCTCATCCTCTGATCTCCTGCCAGTGCTTCCAGTTGGCAAAAGGCAACCAAAAATCACAGGGCAAAGGAGTTCAGTGCTGTAGACCATAGATAAGAGGTAGGCTCCTGGGGCACAAAGAGTGCAGAGAGGGGAGAGCAAAAGGGATCTGGTCAGGTAAGCAGCAAATGGAGAATGACCAGCCCAGATTCAGCTCCTCCTTTTAACACTTGAAAATTCATCCTGAGTTGAAGACCATTATTTCTTTCTTGGATGGCTGGAAAAAACAAACAAGTAAACAAACTTCCCAGTGGTCCCAGTTGACTCCAGTGTGTGCTCCAATTTCATTTTATAAACAGCATTTCTTAGTAATTTCATTGTTGACAGGTGGAGTTCATGTGTTAGCTAACGGGAGAAGGGCGGCATCTACAGTGAGCACGATTCCCCATGGTTGGAGCTTCTCACCTCTGTTCCCCCCTCAAGAGCATATACATGGGGCTGCAAATCAAACAGATCTCACATGATGATTAGGGAATTATCTGTATTTCATTAAGAAAAATCACTTGTAAACTCTGTTTGAAAAAAATATTTAAAACATATTCTTGGGGCTTAATAGATATTCATAGAGAGTGCGGAACAGATATTTGTTAAAGGGGGTGAGTGTTACTTGTGACACTCATAATTAGTGGGTCTTTATATAGGAATGTGTTGAATACAAACAGACCTCTACAATTAGACAGGATGTTCTAAAATGAATTTCTAAAATATGACTCTGACCTAATCACCTCTTGACTTACACAAGCTGGTAGCTTCCCATTGTCAAGAAGTTCTTAAGATGGTGGAAAAGATTTCTTCATCATCTCAACCTCCAAGCCTCACCCCGGTCTTTCCAGGTCTTTTCTCTTGCCTTTCCTGACATCATCTGCTCCCATCTACACTAAGCTCCTTGTCAGTCCTGGAAGAACACACTCAAAGCCGATGATCTTTGTGCCTTCAACACTTAGCATTTTATGAACACTGGCCCAAATTCTAGCTACCAGCACCTGACACTCTGCCCAAGGGATTCCCTGACCAGCAGCACCCATTCTTCTCATGTGTGGGGAAGGCTTCAAGTGCCAGGGAGTTAATGGGCCCTGGAAGCATCCCTGACCAATGACCTTCAAGAATGGGTGTATCAATACCTCTATTCTTTCCTCCCTTGGGTGAGATGACTCTGAGGCACGTGTTTGACATTTCTTCATGGAGTTCCACAGCAGGGTTTAGTTCCAGTTGCCCTCAGTGGTAACTCGGGCTTGATGCATCTTTTGTTTTCTTCCTTCCTTCCCTGTTTCACTTCCTCACTCCCCTAACAGTGTTCTCCTGAATCACCTTCCAAATAAACTACTTGCATTGGAATCCTTGCTTCAGGGTTGGCTTTTCGAGGAACCTAATGTAAAATATTTTAGTTTCTCTTTCAGCATTTTCTTGCCTTTGCATATGACATTGTTTGTGTATGGATTCCCCTTTCTTTCTTTTAAACACACATTTAAAATGACACAGGAAAACAAAGAATGAAATGTTTCTCCTTCATCACCTACTCCCCCACTTCTCCCTCTCATCTTGGCCTACTCTCCTTCCCAGAACTAACCACTTTTTGGTATATATACTTCCACATATTTTCTTTATATCTACACATTTAATAGTATGTAGATATATGAATGTAAATGCATTTACCAATATGTGTGTATATACAATGATAAGT